ACCGCAAGAGAGCGGGAAGGGCGCAGGCCTTGCAGGCTGGGGATCCTGGAGCCAGGTCCAGGACCGCCGTCTTGGTAGAGTTTTAACCAGGCGCCTAGCATAGAGTCCTTTACCTTAGTCCATTTCCCGCCGTGCAGACCTGATTTCCCCCTCTCATTGCAGTTTCCCCGGGGGCGGAATTGCGTTCGCTTAACTTTAGTAAAGCTCCTCCGGGCCTGGTCTCCGGGCACTGTGCCCTGCCCCTTTGGGAGTTTGCCAGCTTCTATTCCTCAGAGGTGTCACGGTGTCCCAGGAGTCTGAAGAAGCCAACGTCGTTTGTGCCAAGGCGTGGGCAGGAGCGGAAAAAATACGGACTTTGAGCATCAGGAGGGTCGGTAGAGACTACTGGGCCGTTTCTCGGAACGGGATCCACGGGGAGGCTCTACGCTTCTCTGCTGCCACCCAGCAGCCCTGCCTGTGGCCAGCGGCCTGTGCCACCCTGCAGCAGAGGCTTTGGGTTTTATCCCGCCTCCAGGTCCCTGAAAGTCCAGAAGAAGCCCCTTGTGGCCTCCGGATTGTGGGGGTGTGTGTTCGAGGAGTGAGCCGTGACACGTCAGTGGTTCCTTGTCCTCCTGGAGGTGGTTATGGTGCAGGGGGCTATACGACCCGCACTTGGCATGTTCTTGGTACAGGACTTGCAACTAACCAATCTACTCTGTCTTCCTGTCTGCCTTGATTTTTTTTTTTCTTCCCTGTGACTTTGGGCAAAAGTTCAATATTCCAAGAACATTCTATGCATTAATTTTTTATATGTATTTTTTGTAGTTGTACACAATAACTTTTTATTTATTTTTATGTGGTGCTGAGGATCGAACCCAGGGCCTTGCACATGCGAGGCAAGCGCTCTACCGCTGAGCCATAACCCCAGCCCCTGCCTTAATTTTTTTACTGGAAAAAATGTAGTTGATGATAGTCCCTACCTGCCTCTTAGAATTGTTTTGAGAAAGCAGTTAAATACATTCAAACTGCTTAGAACAATGTGTGGTCAGCGGAAAGTTCGATCATATAGATGTTAGCTCTTATTGTTATACCACAATTCCCATGTTAACTCACATTTCCTCTTTCCAAGGGAATTTTGTCGTTATGACCCTCCTTCTTGGCCTTTGTCATTTGACCTTCCCTTTCTCTGACCAACTGGTGGCACTCCTGATTTTCTCAGCAATTCCAATCACTAATAAACATTTCCTCCCAAGAGGACTTACCCTTATAAAGGCCCAAGTGGAGCAAGATGCCAATCAATAGGCAGCTATTGTATCCTTCCTGTGTGGGAGCATTTCTTCCCTGTACCATGTATCCCTTGTGCTAAGTGGATCCAAGCTCACACTTGATGTGAGGAAAGTAATTGTATTGTAGACATTTCCCCCTCTACACAGAGTTTCCTGAAGCCAGTGACCATGTCTTTATCCCTAGTGCCTGGCACAATTTAGTCATGCAATAAACGTTTTTTGAACCCACATGTCCATCCACAGAGGACTGGCTGAATAGACTACGGTACATCCACACAATGCAGCTCTGTGTGGCTGTACAGAGAAAAGAGGACCATCTCTGTGGACTGCTGTGGAACTCCAGAATATGTTGTTAAGTGAAAAGAGCACTGTGGAGGACATGTATGTTGCCTTCTTTTAAGAAAGATGGACAAATAGGAACAATGATGTGTGTATATCCTTACACCTGAAAGCAGCAACAGTGGAGTATAAATTGCAAACTAATAAAATACTACGTATAAGAAAAAAGTGCAGGATGAAAGGAATAGGGATGGAACCTAGACTTCTCTGTATATACAGCATTTTATAGTTTTGACTTAATATCAAAAGAATCCCATAAATGTTTTGTGTAATTATTTTTTTAAAATTTTTTTTTTTTTAATTTTAGGTGGACACAATATCTTTATTTTATTTTTATGTGGTGCTGAGAATCGAACCCGGTGCCTCATGCATGCTAGGCAAGCACGTTACCACTTGAGCCACATCCCCAGCCCCATTGTGTAATTATTTAAAAAAGAAATTAACGGGGGCTGGGGATGTGGCTCAAGCGGTAGCACGCTTGCCTGGCATGCGTGCGGCCTGGGTTCGATCCTCAGCACCACATACAAACAAAGATGTTGTGTCCGCCGATAACTAAAAAATAAATATTAAAAATTCTCTCTCTCTCTCTCTCTCTCTCTCCCTCCCTCCCTCCCTTTAAAAAAGAGAAATTAACAAAGCATGTTCTACAGAAAAAAATTAAAAATACATTGAGTCATCAGCATGACCACATAGAAAAGTAAGAAAATGACTTCGAAGCTTATTACTATGGCTATATTCCCTTAATGTGATATTTTCTAAGGACAAAAAAAATGGCAAAGAAATCAACTGCATTTAGAAATAGTATTATTAGTAAGAATAATGTATTGTTATTTACTATTGTATTATAAATGATTTATATATATTACCAAATAGTTAAATATGTTAATATTGTTAGAACCCAAAGTTTCCAGCTACAGACAAAAAAAGATAAAATTATCAAATAAATAAAATTTGGTGTAAACTCTATAATCTGAAATTCTAATGGGCAATGTCAGTATGAATTTATGAATTAATTGTCTTCATTCTACAAAATGCACATGTCCTAGTTGTGTCCACTGAAAAGGCCAAAAAGCAATAATAGTCCAATGACCGTTATCCAAATTCAAAGTCTAAATGCTTTTTTTCACTACCAGGAACAAGGAATGGTTTCAGAAATGACTGAACTGGGGCAAGAGCTGTGCTGTACAAGATGAGCCTGTAGCATTTTGCTATGCCAGAAAGCAAGGTAGCTGCCAAATATTACTAAGGTTACATCGAAAGAATCCTGGAGCCAAGATAAAGGTGCACCCTTTGGCCAAAGATGGAGCAATTTAGTCATGAAAAGAATAATAATGGTCATGATTGAAACATATTAAATATATACAAATCAATGAATTGGTAATGATGTTAACAAGAACATTCTTCATCATTCACCTTTTGAGAGCCTAAGAAACCAACTTTATTTATTTATTTGTTTGTTTTTAGTATCAGGGATTTGGTTTGGTTTGGATATGAGGAGTTCCCCGCAAAGTTCATGTGTTAATGCAGAAATGTTAGGAGGAGAAATGACTAGATTACAAGAGCTGTAACCTAATCAGTCCATCCTAGTTTGAATGGAAAAACTGGGTGGAAACTATAGGCAGGCGGGGCATAACTGGAGGAGGTGGGTCACTAGGGGCATGCCCTGGAAGGGTTCATTTTCCCTGTGCCCACCCTGTCCTTCTGCTACCAGACCCCACTGTGAGCTGAGTAGCTCCAAGCAGCCTTTGATGCTGTCTTACCTTAGGCCCAAAGAACAATTCTGGCTCTGAAACCATGAGTCAGAATAAACTTTTCCTCCTCTAGGTTGTTCTTGTTAGTTATGTTATGCCTAACATGCCCTGGAGTCCTTCCCCAATACCATAAAAAATGAAAGGAAGGAAGGAAAAGAAATTATATATCTGGAATGTACTTTAAAATACTCCATGGGAAGGGTCGTGATGAAGGCACGGCCAAGAGACAGATGCAAGAGTATAAGTGTGTTGACGGTTGTTGAAGCCAAGTGGTGTTCATGGGTGCCATTTATATTAGTGTTTGTACTTTAGCATAATTCTGAAATTATTCATAATAAAAATTTATGTGAGGGCTGGGGATGTGGCTCAAGCGGTAGAGCGCTCGCTTGGCATGCGTGCAGCCCGGGTTCGATCCTCAGCACCACATACAAACAAAGATGTTGTGTCCACCGAAAACTAAAAAATAAATATTAAAACATTTTCCCTCTCTCTCTCTCTTTTAAAAAAAATTATGTGATTGCATTTACATTTTTTGTTTTGTTTGTGCAGTCCTGGGTTGTTGTTGTTGTTTTTTTTGTACTAGGGATTGGATCCAGAGGTGCTTTTACCAGAGTCACTGAGCCACATCTCCAACCCTTTTTGTTTTTATTTTGAGACAAGTTCTCATTAACTTGCTTAGGGCTTTCTAAATTGCTGAGGCTGACTTTGAACTTAGCGATCTTCTTGCCTTAGCCTCCCAAGTCACTGGGATTATAGGTGTGAGCCATCATGCTGTGCTTATTGGGTCTGTTCAACTCCCAAACCTGTGCTTTTCACCGCTCTACCAATTCTTTTTACAATCCTGAAACCTCACTATCATTGAACATCACATGAATGGTACTGTACAAAGGCCAAGGCAGTTACCTAGGGGAGCCCACAGTCTTTAGAAGAATTAAAAGCAATTTCATCTGGATTAGTCTTTACGCTGCATGTTTCCCCCCATTCAATCCTCACAATTTAAATTTGCAGAGTACCATTATTATCCACATTTGACTTATTCTCCTTGACTATTTTCCTTCATTTTTTTGGAAAGCAACCCAGCAGCATCTCCTAAAAGAATAAATGAGTTCAGTAGCAACTCTACTCCTGTAACTATCATGTGCAAATAACCATTTGCAAAGATATAGGTTTACGATCGCAAAGATAAATAAGTAGTTTTATTACATCACCACTTGTATTGCAAGGTGGAGTTCAGCAACAGTATGTCCCCACTGGGGAATTCTCCATTTTTTAAAAGAATGATGTGGAGCTCAGTTGATAAAGTTGTTAAGTGGTGCCTGTATGATGAAGAGATACTGTGAGCCCTGCTTATAAGATAATGCTTAAAAAATAATGTTCTGTACATATGGATTCATACATATGTGGAGTTCCCCTGAGTACCTGAACACTTGAGTAAGGAGAAAATGTAGGTGGATACACCCCTGGTCCTCCACATAGATGGATGACCTTGAGAGGCAGGCTGGATGGTGTTGATGTGGGGGAAGGGAGGCTGAGAAGAAGATGGAGAGGATAAGAAAAAAAAGTGTGGCGGGGAAATGACCACATGTTTTACAAATCAGCCTATGATTATATTTGTATATTTTATAAGATATGTATAAATGTAATTGTGTAAAAAAAGATTAACACTTAAAATATTTTGTTAAGAAGGAACAATGTGCATTGGTTGCAAACAGCAGTCTCTTTGGTAGTGTGCAGCTTGTTGCTCATATGGTCACCCAAAGAGACTTTGGAGACAGCACTTTCCGGTGCATTTTCATATCTGTGATCTCATGCTGTCTACAATCTAGGTTCCAGAGAGGTGTGCAGGGTATCTTTGGGAGACCCCAGGGCATGGTAATCAGGGTTTACGTTGGCCAAGTAAGTCATCATATCCATCCTCACCAAGCTGCAAAACAAGGAACGTGCGATTGAGACCTTACCCAAGGCCAAATTCAGGTTCCCTGGCTGCCAGAACATTCACATCTCAAAAGAAGTGGGCTTTTACCAAGTTTAACACTGACGAATTTGAAGATGTGGTGGCTGAGAAATGGCTCATTCCTGATGGTTATGAGGTCAAATATATCCCCAGACATGATCCCCCATGATCCCCTGAACAAGTGGAGAACACTGCACTCATGATGGCTTCCACTGTGTTATCCCCTCCTTAATCACACTCACCAATAAATCTTGTATCCAAAACAGAAAGAAGAAGAAAAAAAAAAAAAAAAGGAAGAGGAGGAAGAGAAACAGAAAATTACAGTAAATTCCAAGGAATTTGCAGCTAAACATTGTGCAATACTTCTCAGCTTTCCAAAGACTACATGATTAACAATTTGGGGTAAAAACCTCTTCATAAGAAAAAAGAAACAGAAGTATCTTCTGCCTTCTATGAGTAATGACTAATGTAATGAAAGCATGACAATATACCACACTGGTCTTTCCAGGTTCCTATAGTGTAAACATGGTTAAAATGGGATTTTGAAATACACAGTAAGATAATGATTGCTCTCAGCAGAGTTACTTTTCTGACTACAAGCCAAATGGAAAAATGATAGTACAGTGTTTGCAGTCTTTGAATGCCTCTTAAGAGTTGCAACTGAGAGCCTTAGGGCTAGGTGTAATGGTGCAGGCCTGTAATCCCAGTTACTCAGCAGGCTGAGGCAGGAGGATCACAAGTTCAAGGCCAGTCTGACAGTCTAATCAACTTAAAGGGACCCTATCTCAAAAAGAAAAGAAAAAGAAAACCTGAATAAAGTTCTCTTCCTTCATGGTTTTTATTTTTCCTCATTTACTTTTATCACCAATTTTAGAGGTCATAGAGATAAGCAAAATACTCCCATTAGTTTTTCCATAGGTAACACCTCTGACATTTGGGTCACCATGCTGGTAATGATTGCCCAAATTGTTTTTCAGGAATTGGTAAATGGCTTCAAAAAGTTGAAACCCCCAGCCCTTTAAATTGAGCTGACACAAGTGTTCTATAGGTCACCTTTTGACACCAGAGAGCCAAAACTCTCCTCTTAGTGCAGACTAACAAATTATTTTCTGAACAAAGAAGATCCTTGATTATGCGTGCAGAGACTTTTGATTGTGATCACTTAACAAAATCCTGTTTGTTAAATTGGTAGAACGAGCCGCTAAACAAAATCCTTTGAAAAAATTGCAAAGAGCTATCAACACAGGAATCTCAACATGATATATTCATCAAAAATAATGGAATCTCAACATGATATATTCATCAAAAATAATAGGCATATCCATGTTCAGAATTCAACTAAATCTGGCTGCTTTCACTGTGATAGAAATTTATTACATCTCCATTGCACTTTTCTCCCTCCTAAAACTCCAGGATTGTTTAGCTTCCTTTTCGCCTTGTGCTTTCAGTGTGGTATTTCTACAATATCTTTTATTAAAATTAGTTGGTCCTTGATTTAAGACCAAAACCTATAACTTCGTAGGGGTGGATCCTGTTTTTCATTGAGGCTCCACTTCAGTAGTATATTCCCTTTCTATCTTCTCTTACTCAGTCATTCCCTTTATTGTGCCTAAATGCTCAATTTCATCATAAAAATGATCTCACTGATGCCACCTTCCTCTCCAGCAACCAACCAATCACCCCATATCTCTGTCCAGCAAAATGTCTTCAAACATAAGGTAAAACAAACCAATTCTCCCACTATCATTACTTGATTTTTTTTAAGGAAATTTGCAATTGGTTATATGTATGTCTCTTACTGATTTAAAATTTTATAATAGTTATTTTTTTTTACTACTTTCTTTTCAGTATTGGGGATTAAGTCCAGGGCATTGACCCATGCTAAGCAAGCACTTTACCACTGAGCTATACCCCCAGCCATATAATAGTATTTAAAAATACACCCTAAAAAAAATGCCATTGAGGGATGTAACTTAGTGACAGAGCACATACTTATTATGTGCAAAGTCCTGAGTTCAATCCCTAGGACCCAAAACCAAAAAGTGCCATTTTCATGTTGAAGGAATCAGGCCATAATTTCTGAAACTCCATTTGGGAGATTCTTTCTTTTTCTTCTTTTGGCTGGGGATTAAACCCATCAACTCACATACGCTAGACACACATTCAACCACTGAGCTATATCTCTAGCCTGATTTCTCTCCCTTGATGTTATTTAATTTGTTCTTCTATCTTCTCGTTTCCTATAAAGAGACAGTTAAGGGGCTCTGGGGTTGTGGCTCAGTGGTAGTGCACTTGCTTAGCACATGTGAGGCATTGGGTTCGATCCTCTATCTATATCTATCTATCTATCTATCTATCTATATATATATATATATATATATATATATATATCGTGTCCATCTAAAACTAAAAAAGAAAAAATTTTAAAGAAGCAGGTAGGGATTAGTCTTGAAGGGTTAGGAACTTTTATTGATTGATCTGTTGTAAATTTTTTCATCATTCTTTCCCCTGGTGGCTTTAGCAGCCCAATTGATAATAATTGCTTAATTTGATTAGAGTCACCAAATGGAAATTTTCTAATTCTATTATTACCTTTTGCACTTTTTTACCTGGAGTTATACTTTAAATGGGAACTTTTCTTCAACCACTGGCTATTTGACCACATTGAAATGCAATTCGTACAGGGAAACCAAGATGAGTGCTTATTCTTTCCTTTTATTTACCAATTTTTACAAAGAGTTTAGTGTCCTAGAGACCTTTGATACCTGATATTTTGTCATTGTTGCTCTTGTCATATCATATGATCTCAAGGAAATTAATAGATATGAGTTTAATGCCATTGTCATACTCAAGTGTCTCATCTTTTGCCAACAGGAGTCTTTTCCCTTTGGCTTCTGTGTCTTTTTTGGCTACTATGTCCCATAGTGTTGGATTGCTTCCTCGATTGAGTCAAGCCTCCAAAGAGCCTTCCAAGGGCAAAAGCTATTTAAAGGCTACCATTTGAACAGTGAAATGCCATTGCTCCTGATTTTTATTGATTTTAGATTTCTAAGCCTCACTAGTCTTGCCAGTGGCCACATCTAGGAAATATATGTTATTTAGGAAAAAAAAAAGAAATAATCAGTTCATATTGAAATTTCCAATGCAAATTTAAGATTTCAGGCTTCCACTTTAATGTGAGTCTTATCTCTCTTCTCTTGCACTGAAAATCTTTGTTCTTAATAACATAAACATAATTACTTGTTTTCTCTATCCTAAAGCATACACAAAAAATGTATTAAAATAGCAACAGTGTTATTACTGAACATAAGATTTTTGAACATAGTTTAGACTTTTTTTTCTTTCTCCTTCCCCCCCCCCCGCCCCCCGCCCGCAAGGCTTTCTGCATGCTAGGCAAGTGCTCTACCACTGAACTACACTTCCAGGCCCCATAATTTATGATTCTTTTGCTGTTCCTTTTTTTTTCTTTAGAATACATTTAATAAGTAATTATAATCAAATTCAATGTTTCAAGTTCTTGGACATAGACTTTTTTCTAGGCAGCTGTGATGGTTAATTGTATATATCAACTTGGCCAGATAGAGGCATATCCAGATAGTTAGTAAAGCGTTTTTGGTTGTGTCTGTGAGGGTGTTTCTGGAAGAGATGGGTGTTTGAGTCAGTGGACTGAGGTGAGGAAGATTCACCTTTACCTGATATGGATGGGCAACACCTAACCTCTTAAGGGCCTAGATGGAGCAAAAAGGCTAAAGGTAAATTCCTTTCTTCTAGAGCGGGAAAACCCATCTTCTACCATTGGAAATAAAAACTCCAGGTTCGTGGACCTTCAAGATTCTGGGACTGTTGGGCACAGAGGCACATGCCTGTAATTTCAGCAACTCAGGAGGCTGAAGTGGGAGAATTGCAAGTTCGAGGCTAGCTTCAGCAACTTTTCGAGACCCTGTCTCAAAATAAAAAATAAAAAGGCTGGAACTTACACTAGAATAGACTTGTAATTGTTCCCTTTCATTCTTCTTCACAATTCCATTTCCATCAAAAACTCAGATAACATCACTGCTCTGCTTAAGTCACAGTATCATAAATTACAATTCCTTACTATGGCCACTAGGCCCTAAGTCCCTGTGACCCTTGGACCTCATCTTGTACCTTCCTTCCCTCTCTCTCCTTAATCTTCAGGGCATGGGATTTGTTCCCCCATAATCCAAGCTCTATTCTGCCTCTGAGTTCTTAGGTATGCTCTTCTGTCTGGAACTCTTCTGATCTTAACTGACTTGCCTCTTGCTCAGAAAAACCTTCCATGGTCATCTCTCACTCCAGTTTAATTTATGTCGGCCCTTTATACTTATCATTGTGGTGCACGTGTGTATATGTTTATTATCTATCACTCCCATTCAACCCCAAATATCTGGGGAGGGGGAACTATTTTGGTCTTATTCATTGACACACAGTTGGCATGTACTAAACAATTAATATGTGTTGGTAGTTACTATTATCTCCATCTTACAGAGGCGAAAAATAAAGTTTAGAGAGATTGAAGAATGAGACTATGATCTCCTGGCTAATTAGAGGCTGAGCTGGGCTGACAACTCATTCTTTGGATTCTGATGCTAGCTTTGTTACTCCATTGTATAAATTAATCTCACAGTGAGGAGTAGAAGGGAAAGTATCCATATTTTCCTAAAACACAGCCACATGTTATCACTGAAGCTTGGCAGCAAAACTTTTGTTTCTCAAATATTGAGCTTTCTCCTTTGTTTCTTTTCTCCCCCCATCTGTTTTTTTTTTTTTTTTTTTTTTTGTATTGTCACTTTTTAAATGATCTG